GATTTAAGGAGGAGTCTGATCCCATTGAAGATGTCAGTAGGTCTATTGGGTGAGTTTAAGAAAAGGCAAAAGAAAGTTTACAAGTTTGAGAAGAAAAAAGCTCACTATACATATATATAGAAAAAAGCTCACTATGTATATATGCCGAGACTTCAAAAAAGATCAGGAGTTACGCATGAACACATGACGTCGATGTTGCTCGAGAAGACCTTGAATTTTTTACATCCAAAGACACATTTTGAGTTTTTATTTACACCTAAAGGCACATTCCACATGTAACACACACATATTTCTTGGAGTTTGTCTCTTATACCCTTAGACTAAGATAACTATACATTTTCTTCTCCAACAAAGATTCTTCATTATCTTTCCTATTTCAGATCTAAACAACTTTCTTGATTTTTCTGATTTATTTTTTTTATTCTGGTTCTCTTAAAGAGAACGAAAAACTTAAATTCTCTTTTAATCTTTCTTGTTATCTTACTATTTATTTCTTGAACAATGATGAAATCAAAGAAGCTTTCGAGAATTCATGGAGACTTCATGAATCCAATTAGGAGAGAGATTTCGGTGACGAAGTATCCTTCCCTCGGGATGGTGGTTTCCTTGAGTTTGGTTTCTCGCAGGCCGAGCTCACCTCGCCACCGCTTCTGGAGAAGAGAACCTTGTTTGAGTCAGACCCGTGGATGAGGCGACACTTGGGAAGTATGCGGCGGCTAGGGTTAAGAGTCGGCTCATCAGAGATGATGTGTTGGGGCCGCAGGACTTCTCTACGGATGGCTTTGACAGATACTGGTGACGGACCTTGCACAAGATCTGGACACTCTGGCCTTGAGAAGTCCTGACATCTTGATTAGGTTGCTGTTGGTGTTCACCGAAGGGGGAAACCTTGTTTTCCCGGTCTTCACACCCTCAACCTTATACTTTCTCTGTTTATGTGGTCTGTCGATTTCAAAATCCAGATCTGCAAAAGATGTGGACGGATAGCGTGTGGATGGAGATTGCGTGGATAAGTGGTGTGTGAATAGCCAGAGCGTGGATGAGTTATATGTGGATGGTTGAATAGATCTATGGGGACTGGTGGGTGGATTCTAGTGATATATGCTTGGTGAAGTGGTTGCACGTAAGCTTCCCACAACCAATGGATTGATTCATATCATCGCTATTGTTGTTGCAGTAATGGGGGTTATCAAAAATTCAACTTCAAACTACAAAATTCTTTAAATTGGGAAGTTTCACCAACAAAGAAAATTGTCTTTTCTACTTTTTTTACAGCGAACACAAATAATAAATTCATTGATGAAAATTATTGATCACTTTCTTTTAAATTATGTCTATATTTTTTTGTCCACAATTCATTCATTTATATATTTTTTTGTGGATGGTTTATCCATCCAATACTATCCACAATATTTTAAGACATTTTTTATGTTTTCATATTTAAATTTCAAAAGTATATATAAATGGATGTCAATGAAAAAAGACAATTTACTTGACTGATTAACTCCAGTGGAGTAATATTTAAATTGATGTCAATGAAATATTATCATATTTAAATTTTCATATTTAATATATCAGTCAAGTAAATTGTCTTTAAAACATGGTATAGAAATTTGCATATTTAATATATCAGTGGAGTTAATATAAATTTTCTTACAATTTTCAATGAAAAAACATTTGGGAAAAAGAAAGCAAAAATTAGGAATTTTTAATTAAAAATGAAAATAAACCAAGTGAAATTTGAGAAATATTATTATCTTTTACGATTTTATTTTTAAATAAAAAATGTAATCAATATTTATTAATGTTTCAAAGTATTGTGGATAATTAAGTGGTTAAATTTTATCTGCAAATTGTTTTGGTTAACATGTTAAATTAGTTATAAAACCTAATCAAATATTAAAATTCCAAATACCTAATATAATGTAGATTAGAATCAGAAAACAACGATTACTCTACTGCTCTATATAGATTTAAGAAAAATATGGATTCAGTTGTTATGACCACATTTTAGGACTAATGTTATGATAAATTAATTGGTTCGTAAATTTTTTACCAATTAAATTAAATATTTTTTTTGTCAAATTTTCATTACATAATTCTCACTATATTCCTCTCATTTTATCAAATAAAAAAGTTTGAACAAATTTTCTCCTCCAATTTTGATGCTAAAAAATTGAATCTTTTTTCTTTTAATTTAATCATTTCCTCAAATGATTTTTTTTTATCTTTTTCTTCTGTTCATTTTTTCATTCATCAGATGTTTATTAATCAAAACTGAATATGGTCGAACAATAAACATCAACTTAGGGATATAGTTTATTAATCAAAATTTACAAAAATAACAATAAATTAAAATATATCAATACAAAACAAAGGAATAAACCAAAATTCATTAAAATCTTATAAATCTAAGTATAAGTCATAAAATATAAATATTATAAACTTCTTTGTTGATTTTTTTAATTATTTTAAGTAAAACTAGAATGAATTATAATATAATTCTAAATAAAAAATACTTTTAAACCAAAAAAAAAAACTAAATAACATTTCTTTTTTCATAATTACTGTCTTTCTGAACCAAATATGTTCACATTTAAAAACTTTATCTCTCCAAATAACGGGGAAAGACACCTAGTTGCTATTATTTTTATATGATGCTATTTGTTAAAGAATAGGTGGGCTTATATTGCAGTTTATCATTTATTGTATGTTGTTGTCTTCTTTATTCCCTTCCATCCCTTACCCACCTTTACATCAGTCCACTTTCTTTGTCTCTCTACATGTGTAATCTACGTCAATTTTTTTATTGGATTGATGAAACCAGTTGGTAAGCCCATTAAAACTTCAATTCAAAAATATTCATATACCTATATGCGAATTACGCAAAAAATTATATGTCAATTACAATATCATTGTTTCAAAATTTAAAAATTTCCATATACTGATATCGGAGTTACATAAAAAATTTGTAAATCATTTACGATATTATTGTTTTAAAATTTCATCGTTTAGGATATACATATAACACAAAGATCTCATCAACTGATTTCAAATATCTATTAATTAAATATTATAAATTCATATTTTTTGTATGCTGTTCAATTATTTAATATATTTCAATAGAAGATATATACCATACAAACTAACTGTATTTTTATATGTGATTAGATAAATTAAAAGTTAGATATAAATACATGAAGAAAAAATAACTAGTATTTTTAAAAAATTTGAATAAATTTCGATTTTATATATATAATAATTATTTATTTATATATATAGTGGGATCATATATTTACTTTAAAAAAAAAAAGAATTCTGGTTATCTTATCAATTTTTTTTATATTGAACAAATTTAATTCAGAAAATTTGTTAGTTTATCTTAGTTATCAATATATCAATTATTAATTTATAGTATATTTTATGCTGTAAAAAGTTCGTTGTCATAAATAAGATAATTTTGCAATTAATAAGTAAAAAATAAACCTAACCACATTCAAAAGAGAATTTATTTTGAGTTTAATTATCTGTTGCTACTTCATGCCATCACCTAATAAATTTTATTTTGTTTTCTGTTTTTTTTTTAAAGAATTTATTATGTTAGGGCAGGAAGTAGAGGTAATTAAATCCGCATTCCCCAACTAAATTTATGCACGAGAATATTATGTGGGCGTCACGAGGCTAGTTTGGTCTTTGACCCAACGCGTTTCCCTCGTGGCTCGAATAAAGTGAAGAGACCAACTGACCAAGGCACATGCTAAGTGGTTCCTGATAAGTTATATTTAGGCACCAAAAAGAATTGTAGCTTTGGACCTTTTTGTCCCCGTATTAAAGAAAAGAATCAAATGTCTATTTCTTACGAGTTTTGATTTAGACATTTAAACATCTCAATCTTTTAGCTGTTTCGCATTTTATTTTTTCCTAACACAGCCTTCTCTACCAAATAAGTATATGCCAAAACAATAGTATAAAATGTTTTGCAACGCACGTTGCATAGAATGTTCACTGCCACAAGATGTAACGAAAATGATGTATGCTGCAACGTGTGAAACTGTGAACAAGGCTCAAGAAAATTTCAGATATTGGCAGCTCGTTTAGCTTTGTACAAAAAAAATCATTTATATATGAATGGAAGAAGTAAAAGTCAATTATGAAGAACTTCTTAACACGTCGTAAATCCTACACTTTTTAAATACTAGCACAAAACTCCTGTCTCTAGCATTTTTATACCAAAAGAACATAAAAACCCTTTTTTACAAAAAAAAAAGAACATAAAAACCCCACTTTTATGCCTTTTTTAAAAAGATGAAAAATATGGGAACATAGTAACATGCTTCTTTAGTTCTTTACTCTTTTCTTTCTTTTTTAATTAAGTTGGATCTGACTTTTGACATTCTTTAGCATCAACCATATGCATATGCTTCACCTAAAGTTGTAGACTTGTAGCTGTTGTTTCCATATCAATTTCCAGCCCAATCTATGCTCTCCTTTCTCCACCATATATTTTATAATACTTTCCCAACCATAAATATTTTCTAAAGATCCAACTCGTTTTATACCATCTTTAGTAAATTACAAACTCTATAATATCTGCTTATTATATTAACCTTAGATAATGTCATAACTTCCATTTATATGTTGTTGGAAATTTTCTTAATTGTTTGGTAGTTTTCAACTGAAATAGACATTCTCTCAATTTAGTAACTGTTCTAGTACAGTGTATCAAAACTAAAAGGAAAAAACAAATAGATAAGACTAATTAACCGAATAAAAATGTATGATTGGAGTTTATCAATAAAACAACCGCCCTATTATTATCCAAATTTTGAGCCATGATAGGTGGCAAATGGCAATCAGTCTTTGGCTTCTATAGCTTTACAATGAAACACAGCCTGTTAAATGATTGAGACGTTTACCTTTTTAAGTTATATCCGTCTAACGCGGCAGAACTTGTTTTCTTTGAAAACAACAAGAATTTTGTCAACATCTATGCCAAGATTAAAATTTCTAAGTCATGGTTTATGTAATAACACTTCAAAGTTAGTATACTACTCTACTAGTTTCCCATTTCTTCAAGAAAACCAAGCTAAGTAATACAATTTCCCTTAAAAAGAATGAACAAACGCAAAAGCACAAGTGGTCAAACGCAAATACAACATATATGTGCTTACATTACAATATATAAATAATCATCATATCATATAAAGACAAAAATCCCAAAAGGAAGAACTTAAGTAACATCGATTTGATACACACACAGAGTATGGTGTCACCGGCCATCAGCCGAATCAAACGTGTTAGGAAAACCAGAAGGCTTTGGAGGTATACTAGACTGTGTCTGAGAGTAAGAGAAGTCTCCATGGAACATTGACGTTGATGTTCCTTCGCTTTGCTGCCATCTCTGTAGAGCTTGAGGTAAACTCATGTTGTTCACATCGATCCCGAAACTCTCTTCTTCTTCTTGGCACGACGGTTTCCACTTCTCTACCAGTGGTCCTAGCACGTTAACCGCATGGCCCATGTCTGGTCTTTGTTGAGGCTCACGAGCTGTGCAGTGTCCTGCTAGCTCAGCAACCCTGTGAATGCTCTCCAATGTTTCCTCGTCTGCCTCTAAGGTTTGGTCGATCGCCTTTGGGATGTTATCTTTATTGATTAGGATTCTTCTGAACCATGTGACTAGGTGAGATCTCTCGTCCGGTAATGAATCATCTAATGCTTTTCTTCCTGTTATCATTTCCATAAGAACCACTCCAAATGCATACACATCCACTTTCGTCGTTACTCTTCCAGTTGCTGCAAACCATATTATAAAACATACCTCAGATAAACGCATAGTAACATGACAAACTAGGCAGATTGTGAAATTAACATGAGTCAAGATTTAAGCAGAATCAACTTACCGGCGTATTCAGGTGCTAGATAACCAAACGTGCCTGCTAATCTCGTCTCAACAGAGTATTTTCCATCAGGTGCGTTCTTAACCAATCCAAAATCAGCAACCTTTGCCCTCATGTCATCACCAAGAAGGATGTTAGAGGGCTTTAAATCTCTGTGTATAAAGCTTTGCTGAGCCAAGCTATGGAGATATTCAACACCTCGTGCCACATCTAGAGCGATACTCACTCTCTGTTTCCATGTCAGAGGAGGGTAACCAAGTTCACCGTACTCAAACAAATGCTGTCCAAGATTTCCCTGCGGCATGTACTCATAGACAAGCAATCTCTCGTTCCCGTTCACACAGTAACCCAACAGAGCAACCAAATGTCTATGCCTGACCTTAGTGAGCACAGCTATCTCGGCTTGAAACTCGTTCATTCCTTTATTACCCATTGCTGAACATTCCATCCTCTTGACCGCAGTCTTGGTCCCATCGTGTAACTCTCCAGCATACACAACACCAAAACCGCCTCTTCCCAATATGTTAGCTTCACTGAAATTATTAGTAACTTGACGAAGAACCTCCATTGGAATAGTAACACTTCCACCTTCAAGAAGGAAACGCTCGCTATTGTCACCACTACTAGGACTGTTCAACGCATTGAAGTTATTACCTCCATGTCCATTCCCATATCCACCACTACCACCGTTACCATTAGAAGCAGCATCACTAACCAAAACCTTCCCTGCTGCCTTCTCAGGATCCGTCCTTCTCAACTTCCCATACTTCTTCTTCATCACAAACTTATAAACCACAAATCCTAAAATAGCAAGAAAAACAAGAACCGCCACAATCACACCAACGATCACCGGAGCCTTACTACCACCACCACCACCACCACCACTACCACCAGAAGACCCACCGGAACCACCATCACCTTTAGAACCATTCCCCGGCTTAGAAGAATCTCCAGCATCAGTTCCCAACAGAACATTACCCGGTTTATAAGTAAACTTCACCGGATCCGGAAACTTCAATATCTCTCCCGTGAGATTATTGTTCGAGACATCAATTATCTTCAAGTTAGGCATAGACGTCAACACTTTCGGTATAGCACCGGTTAAGTTGTTGTCATTAAGATAAACATTCTTAAGAGAAGTGAGATTCGCAATCTGCGGAGATATAAACCCTTGGAATCCATGTTTAGCTAGATTCAAAGTAACAACCTTCCCATCTGAATCACACGTCACATAAGCCCATCCGTCACAGGCATTGTCCCCTTGCCAAGACTCCGCCAACATGGACGGATACCCCAAACCTCCCGCCACAGCTAAAAGATTCATCACCTGAGCATCACACTTATCACCGGCTTTGGTAGTGCAGAAGTAGTTATGATCAGCGGTTACTTTCTCAACCTCGGGTGGAAAGGAAGGAAGAGGGCCTTGGAACTTATTGTTGTCTAAAGAAATGTTCTTAAGGCTTCCGAGTGGTAACAGTGACAGGGAGACGATTCCGGTTAACTGATTATCTCTAAGCTGAAGATCGAATAGATTCTCGCTTTTAGATAAATCCGGAATCGGACCGGTGAAATGATTCTTCTGAAGCCACACTTGTGATAACGAAGTCATACCGGAGAGGACTTCAATGGTACCGGATAAACCGGATAACTGATTATTAATCCAAAGATACTGAATGGAGGATTTGGCCAAAGAGGGAGGCAACGGACCTGTGACGTTGTTGTAAGACAAGCGGAGTTTCTGGAGAGAAGCGAAGGAGTCGAAGATGTTAGGCAAGACGCCGGAGATCGTGGTGTTGTCTAAGTAGACGGTGGTGAGAGAAGTCGAATCGGCTAGCTCCGAAGGGAAGCTCCAAGGGGATAAGTTAGGGTTATCGCTCATACTCAAGATCTGGAGGCTTGTGAGTCCGGAGAAAGCTCCCGGTTCGACGGAGTCGAAGAGGTTACCGTCCATGTAGATCTCTTGGAGAGAGGTTAGTTTCGCGAAGGAAGGGATGTTGCCGGAGAGTTTGTTACGCTGGAGGGAGATGGTTTTGAGGTCGGAGAGGGAGGAGATCTCGGGGGATAAAGCGCCGGAGAGGGATTTGTCCTCGAGGCTGATTGAGTTGACTCGGTCGGAGGAGGAGCAGGTTACGCCGGACCAGTTGCAGTAGCCGGTGGAGGAGGTGGTTGACCAGTCTGACGGCGGGGGAGTGAAGGATTTGGCGAGGGAGAGCATTGCTGCTCCGTCGTCTGCGGAGGTTGCGGTGAGGAGAGAGAGGAGGAGGAAGAGGAGGAGGTGAGGCGTGGGAGCCTCCATTGGTTGAAGAACACGCGCGGCGCGTAGAGAGGAGGAGGAAGGAGGTAGGGTTTCGGAGAGATTTTTAGAGAGAGGGAGAGAGAGAGAGTTGATGAATGGAAGCAAGCCAAGAGTGAGGTGTCATAAGCTGTTCAACAGATCATTGCTGTTATAAACAACGTAACCATTTCCATTCCGTCCCGTTCCGTTCCTCCATTTTTTTAAAATATTATTGTTTGTATATTATATGGTAGTTTGTTCACTCGAAATGGCAAAAACGGAAAATACGCGTTTTAGTGTCTATTTCCCAATAAACAAAAAAACGGTATGGACTGTATTCTGTATATAGATAATTTATAAGCTTTAATAATTAAATAACAATATTCCGTTTTTGATATACGTATATAATTTAAAACAAAAGTAAACCGAATGAGATAATTATTGCGCCGGGTAGTTGTAAACTTGTAATAATGGAGATAACATAATTTTGTGTTTGGTCGGTAATTAACTAATTTGGAATACAATGTAAGGCGGCAAATAGTTGAGTTTATTTCTGTGTGCAAGGATATTAATCAGGTCTAACCTATTGGTGGTCGAGGAGGACCACGAACCTATGGGCTATACAGAAAGTGTCGATTCGATCTAGTATCAGTTTCGTTTCTACCCAAATTTTTTTATATTTGTAATTCTATGCATATAAGAAAATATATAATATTTTTTAAAACAGAAAAATAACAAAACTAATATGTAATTTGTTATGTAATGTTTATGTTGCAGATTAATTTTTGTTTATTTCAATAATAGATTGTCATGTAATCATAAATTTTCGTTTATTTACAACGGAGTAATTGGTTGGGATATAACTAATAGTTTTAGTTTTATTTTTATCTATAACCAAATAAATTATTAATTATATTTTAAATATTTTTTAAAGTTAAAATCAAAAAATTAAAATAATGACTGTTGGAATCTTATTTTCTGAAATAGAAAGAAAAATTGTTATGCTATTATTGTAAGAATATTTTTTTCTCATTTAATTTCTACAGTTACATTTTCTACAATTATATTAAAAATTATATTGACTAAATTTTACAGTCTAATTAATGACAATTAACTCCAATATAATCTGTAGACTGACATATGCACTTACCGGTTACCACATCGCAAGGTCTTGGGATCCCACTAACCTATCCTTAAATAATTAAGTGATGACACAAATCAATCAATAAACTATATCTTGGGGGCAAAACACTAAGCATTTTTCTTTTCAGAAAAAAAACATCAAGTATTTTCTTTATAATTATTTTACAAAGGTGAAAATAAATGAAAAGGGTTAATGAGAGCTCGTGAACATACATGAGATACATATCCATATAGATAGAATTTGCTCACAATGTAATTAATTGTGGTGGGGGTTCTAGAACACAATAAATATTAAGTATAAAAATTATTGTGCATCATGTGGTTACCGTAAAGTATATCAAATGTGAACAAATACGATGAGCTGTGTGTTTATATGTTTTATTTAAAACATCAATGAGCTGTGACTAAATCATTCTTAAGAATCTTAGCGGCGTTGCTGGATTTTGGGAGAAAATAATTGTCCTAAAGTCATGTCTATCTATAATCCTGCGGCGTACTACATTGTCATGTGTATGAAGATTTACGCAGTAGCTTTGTATATACATGAACATATAAAATAATAAAAATGCATTATCAGCTTTTATATGTGGACGTGAGAAAATTAGTACTCCCTCTGTTTTTAAATAAGTGTCATTTTTACTCTTTGCACATAAATTAAGAAAATTGTATAATAGACTAATATATTCATATTTAATGTATGTTTAATTAAATAAAAATAATTTAAGTAAAATACTATTGGTTATTCAAAAGGGTAAAAAATAGATTTAATGTACAAAATTACATTGGAATTGTAGAATGACACTTTTTTTGAAACAAAATTAAAAGGCCAAAGTGACACTTATTTAAAAACAGAGGGAGTACTAATATTCAGCATTTCATGTGGCAGTCTGTTCATGTGTCTGTCCAGTAAGAACTTTTCCCTTTTTGAGTGCCCCGACGTTATTGTTTTGTAGGCAGTGTTAGTAATTGCGTTACTAATCTACATTAACAATATGTGTTATAAAAATACTATTTTAATCCATCAACAAGGGCTGGTCCATGAGCTTCTCTTAATGGGCCGTGCTCCCGATTTCAGCCCAGCAACCATACCTGATTTCTCCGATTTTCCTCGGCCGTTCAGCCGTTCAGGATCTAACTTATCTTGTTGTGTCACACTATTTCAAGTGAATGTTAATATGATAATATCTACTTTATTAAATAGAAGTACATGTATAAAATACCCATTAGACTTGCACAATATTCACAATCAATACCATTAACATAAAAAATATCTGTCTTTTCCACGTAAAAATATTGTCCCAAAATAATTCAAACTAACTACAATGAAATAAACAAATAAGTAAATGATTATGCTTTTTTCAGGTAGACAAAAACTAATTAAAGTTAAACATTATACTCATAAATCAATTAAATTGACATGTACAATTGGCAAGACACAGTTATGATTCTTCCTAACGTCTTTGTTTTGAAAACTATGGATACAACTATACAAATCGAATATTCTTTGAATAAATTGCCTACAATCTTTTTAATTCTGTACAAATGTTATAACTAATGCATCAATTGTAAATACTATACGAACTCATGTGTCTATTTTTCTTACTGTTTAATTCAGAAATTTAGTTTCTAGATATTTAATACACAAATCTTTTTCTTTTGTAAATTTTGGATTTGTTTATATGATATACAATAAATATTGGTCATATAGTTTGCGGTAAAATGCAAAAAATCATTCGATGTAATTAGGCACATCATTATCTTTCAAAATATTATATTAATACATGCATTACAACTCATGTATAACATTTACTACAAACAAAGATAAAAAGATAAAAATTGACATCCAAGCGGTCAAAATATAGTTTCTTTTTACAACAATAGACATTAAACTTAAAAACACCTTATTATGGATTATGAAGAAACCAGGTAAGTGATGTTGTGTTGGCATAAACCATAGCTGAATGAAAAGATTTCAAGCACCACGTGCCAACTTGTTTGTCATTATATTTTTGCTTTTACAGTATGGGCCAGATTACGAAATTTAGAAAGAATTTCATACATTATAGTAACTCTTCCAAGTGCATATATAGTGAAAACGGATCATTATGTCGATATATAAACCATCTTATCAGTTGAGAACAGTTTGTTGTAAACACCACATCAATAATCTGTAGATCAATGTTTTGCATTCCAAATGTAAATGTGATAGGTTTTGTCGGATATTCATGGTCTCATAATGTGATCATTTGAACCTTCTGTGCTACCGAACTAACTTTGGCCTAAAAAAGTATCATGCTCATTCCAGATACCATCTCATATTTTCAGTTATAGTCTCAAATGTAGAACATCTCTCTTTTTCGGTGTACCTATATTTTTAATTTGTGTATGTATCCATAGTTTATCCTCTATTTTCAAGATTCAGTTTTGTTTTTATAAATCTTGTTATTTTGATTCTTCCAAATATACAACATAATACACATAAAGCAATTGTAAACATCCCAGACCAATGGAGAGGTCTAGACTAATTCCCAAAGGGGTGGTGCAGCCCATTGATGAATCTCACTCCGTGTAATCAAATGAACTGTAAAATAGACTTATATTTGCATGGCCACAAGGTAAAATGTAATGGGGTGCATTCAAACCTAAATTATTTAGCAAATCCCAAAGCTCACCTATCACTAGACCATCACCTTGTGATTTTGATAATTCATTTTCGCAAAGATGGAAAGCTTTAGATAAAACCTCATGGTTCTAAAGAATCATGATCACCCATGTATGAAGCGCAATTTGATATCTATATATATAAACAAATGTTTGCCTCCCTCCTATGATGCCATGTCATCAAATCAACTCTTCCAGACACGACACCTGTCCCTGAAAAATGAAACTCGGCATTTCATTTAATCCACTTGGGTATGGGCTTACGTCGTTTATTGTGTTGTGGGCTGTAAATTTGGAACCTGTATCCGGCCCGGGTTGATGGAGCTTGCCCTCTAAACCTAATTACGCTCGATCGAATAATTGGAGATCGTCTCCTCTTCGTGCGACGGACTCAGTGACGTCCAAGCTTCCTTTTGATATCTGAAATGGTTCGAGTTGTGATTTTGTCTTAATCCCATTAATTCTTTCATCCACGATGAAAACTTCAATGTGCGTTCAGATCTACAAGGCGGTGTGTAATCTGTATAAATATGTGGGTATTTTTCATCTTGAACTCACCCTCTCTTCATATCTCTTACAATATACTGATTTACGGTGTATGACTAATTCGAGGGTGTTTTCTCCGATTTGAAGTCCGTAGTCTGCTGCGGTTCTAGGTCTGACGTTGATGGAGATCGTTACCTTGAGCCTCTCTACAATGACCACAAAGAAGTTGGTAAAAGCTATATGATGGAAGTAGGTTTTACTTTGATTAAATGGATCCATTGTATTACACTATCGATTGATTTTTTCACTAAAGCGTTCTATCTTCTTTAGATTTGAGTAAGGTTTTTGTTGACACATGTTGACGAATTCATTAAGGAACTTTTAAGCAAGGACTGCAATACCACGCTTGAAGAAATGTTTGTTCTTTTTGCAATTAAGATGGACCTTAAATTATTGTCTTCCAAGTTTTGATAAACAACTCTCTAAATTGTCACAGTAAGCATCAACTTATGTCCATATAAGTTGTCGAAGCCAGTTTGCAGAGTATGCATCACTTTTGTCTACAAAGTGTCCCTGTATCTTGATCGCTGGGCCAGATGGTATGAACTAAACTATATACGATTATTGTTTTTAATTGGTATTTTGTTTGTCATTACTATATTCCTAACAAAAAAATACATACTGATTATTTGAAGGCTTTTGAGATGTACCAGAAAATATCAGCAAAAGCACTTGCAAAATATTTTGGGGCCAAATTAATTATACTTGGACACTAAGTTTACCCTCTATGTTCTTCTTATCATTCGGGTGTTTGCTTTTGTGCATATTCGTTTCGGATTTTATTGTCTAATTTAGTTTCGTTAACATACTGTTATTAAAAGGGTACTCTTGAATATTGGTTCGAAGTGTCTCAGTATCTATATATGTCCCGGCAGCGTCTTAAATTACTTGGGGTTTAGACAGTTCTGCTATCATTGATTCTCAACTTTATCATAGATGTCTTCAGGATCAACAGCCAAGGAAACAAATTTTATTGAAAGAATGTTCTTGGCGTGAAAGATTGTCCGAGCATGTTAAACGAGCCGTCCGATCTGCTCACGCTGAGGTTTTGCAGCATACGAAACCAGCCTCCAGTGCTAAGGATGATATAATAGGTGTATCAAGATTGGTTCTCATGCTGTTCTGAGGCAAGAAGAGCCAACTGCAATATCTAATAGTTACACCTTCAAAACAAGTATGGTCACTTAGTTTTATTGGTGTCATTGGTTCGTCAGATGCTGGGGCGGATACTGCGCGTAAGAAGACGGACGTAGATAGAATGTAGTCAAGAATGTCTGAAAAGATTGTTTCAACTACCCAACTTGAAAGCATCAACAAAAAGACCCAAACAAAGATATAATTGTATCATTTTAATACAGGTGTTCAGACCTTATAATTTTCAGATATATGAAATGAATTTATTTTGTGGTTTACGAAAATATATAGTATGCTAGCATCCTATGTTCCACTAAAAGCCTTTATTGTGCCAATTGCCAAAAAAAATTCTATATCACGTTTTTTCGAAGACACAAACAAAAATAACATTATTACAATAGTCATTGTGAATAATAGATCGTTTGGGCCATCTAGTTATTGTTGGATAACAGTGCACCTCATCCGATATATAAGTAGACGGCAAGCTTTTTGTAAAAGATCTATTTATGAAAATTATACACGTTGAATGATTTAGTATAAAGTCTGGTTCAGTAATCTTTAAAAAAAATACACGTTAAATGATTTAACTAATATTTATATTCTTACATGATAAAAATTTATATTACACTTTTATTCTAATTGTTGAAATTATTGTTTTAAATTCGCATCCCGTCCGTAGGGCGGGTCAGCCCTAGCTCAAACATAATATAAATTCATCGCTCTCTCCTCCGCTCCACTTATGCAACAATATGTATCATATCGAATTTCTCAAGACCTTAAATTGTTCGTAACCTGTAAACTTCCTGGTATTACGTGTCACACAAAAACTTCCATCAATACGCCAAAAATGATTTGAATTTGGTCCATCGAGTTCCACGCCTTCCCATATTCTGATTCTAATTCAAAAATTTCCAAAAAGATTCTGATTCAAAAATGTTTTTCGAAATAGAGTTGACCAGAGTTTATATGCAACCTAATTCGTCTTATAATTTATTTTTTAAAAAAATTAATGACATATTTTTGTCACGCTGAATAAACACATAACTTGGTATACTCAAACCCTTTACCTAACTCCCAAAATCTTCACCAACCAAAACATTTTAACACACAACCGCGACCCAAGAGAAACGTCTCACTCCACAAGACGCCCAAACCAAACGATAAGAAAGAGAGAATGATCTGCGTTAGAGCTCGGCCGCTATTTTCCTCCCCGTTATCTCTCTCCTTCTCATCATCAACCACCAAACACTCCCCTACCCTTCTCCGTCTCCCTCGTCGCTCTCTTTCCACCGTCGCAATGTCTTCCTCCTCCACCACCACTCCTCCCGAAATCATCGAGCACATCGTCCTCTTCAAAGTCAAACCCGAAACCGACTCCACGAAGATCGCCTCCATGCTCAACGGCCTCAACTCCCTCCTCTCCCTCTCCCAGGTCCTCCACATCTCCGCCTCCCCTCTCCACCGCGTCAGATCCTCCCCTTCCCTCTTCACCCACGTCCTCCACAGCCGCTACCGCTCCAAGGACGATCTCAACGCCTACGCCGCGCATCCGGACCACGTCCGCGTCGTCAAGGAGAGCGTCTTGCCCATCTGCGAAGACGTCATGGCTGTTGATTGGGTTGCGGATCGGGTTCCCGGAACCCTAGCTCCGCCTCCTGGCTCCGCCGCGAAACTGACTTTTCTCAAGGTGAAGGAGGGTGGTGACAAGGAGGAGATTGTGGGTGTGATTAAGGGGCTTAGGGAGAGGATTCCGGGGGTTGGTGAGATCACTGTTGGGGAGAATTTCTCTCCGGCGAGGGCGAAGGGCTTTTCGATTGCTTCGATTGCGTTTTTTAGGGATTTGGGGGAGATGGAGAGTGTGGATGGGGAGAAGGAGTTGGTGGATGGGGAGAAGGAGAAGGTTCGTGAGTTTATTGATTCTACTATTGTTGTTGAGTTCGTTGTGCCTTCTGGTTTGGTTTCTGGGTTGTAGAGTGGGTTGTAACCATGAGACAATAAGAGATAATAATAAGAGTTTCTGATTCTGCTTTCGTATAATTGAGATATTGAGTTTGGTCTTCTTTGTTATACATTTGGAGTTATTAATTGTCTGCATTTGTGTGTTGATGCAAAGTCGGTTCTGATTCTATTAGTTAGATGTTACAGTTGCAGTTAATCTATCTATGTAGTTTGCAATCAGTTCTTTATGTTGTTGTCAAAAGCTGGACTAGTTAGTGTTTTATGATTGCTCCAAGGATATCTATAATATCACCTAGTGCAAGAACAGAATATAGCTCTTTTTAGGGATTTCCCCAAGTCCTACTGCAAGAACAAAACATAGCTTTAAGTTTTTGGATCATTTTTGTGGACAAAAGTGGTGATGATTACACAACAGAAAGGTGGTTGTGTTAACTTCTTTGTGAAGATATTTGAAGGTGGTGGTTGTTTGAAATTTGGTTTCATGAAATATTTATAGGTTTGAGTTTGGAAGATGGTTGTTGGAAATTTGATTTCATGAAATTTATGAGGATGTTTCCAACAACAACTTCTGTGTGAAGCAGACTTATTCATTCATTGAGGATGCTATATGTATTCTAAAGCAGATACTGATTAACTTAATAGTATTCATTACAAGTCTAAAAAGGTTTCATAGCTTAACCGTTGACATATACAAAATCATAGAACACATCTCTCTTTGTCTACTTCAAGTTGTAGAGTGATGAGATCGGAAATAAGAAAATGGAGAAGTAATGCGTACACAAAAGATGGTTTAGGGTTGGTTTAGGGTTTTACGATGCTCTACTCCTTGGCTTCCTCTGCTGAAACCTCGAAACCAGGCGGTATAAACACAATGTCGTCCCAGTTTGATGTTGCGCTTTCCTGCATTATCAAATCCAAAACTAAGTTTCAGCAAAACTTAAAGAACCAACAGTCTTGTGAAGTATGTATATATATTCTTTTACTGTTTTACCTTCATCCCCTTGACAATTTCTTCAAAAACTTCAACCTTTTGGTAAAATATAAAAAAACATGCATTTCAATATGAGGTAAGAAAATTATGGATTGACAAGGAATAACAACAAACAAAACCTGAATGTCTCCAGGTTTCAAAGCAGGATTAAGCCGGTTCTGTTGGCGGGAAGCTCGTGTCAGGGATTTTTCCAAGTCCTCCTGTACGAAGAGAACACACAGCTATAAGTTTTTGGATCATGTATGGGCAAAATGTGATGATTAGACAAGAAAAAGGTGGTCGTGTTAGACTAACCTTTCTGAAGAAAACAGGGCGATAACTCTTGTTATCACTACGTAGAATCAAGCTCTTTGACTGAAGCAAAACAAGAAAAGTTTATGATTAAAGGCAAAAAAAATTTGGATATATTTGCAATATCCACTGATGCAGCCCGGAAAAATAGTACCTAAAACTATAATTAATAGACACACCAAAAGAAGAAGCCAAGTCACAAGTTTAAGAGCATTGGTTCTTTCTTTTGCACATTACCTGGAAAACTGGAACACCATTAAAGTCGTCATCAGTGAAACCAGCTGTTTTCCTTTCCTGTTTACACATATAGAAGAGAGATTAAGTATCCTTTTACTTACAGCTGCAAGTAAATCCTACCACCACTAGTGTAGTTCTGAAGAAAACCAACTAGCTGAGGTGATTAAAGGAAAAAAAAGCTCCTTTTCCACAATTGTTTTGTTAAGAAACTTCAGGACAGTAGGTAAGGCCAAATAGATAATGTATAATCTCTTGACACATTCTGTGTGATCAGAAGTAAATACAACATGGAATTCTAAGAGTCAGCTGACGTCTGAATTCTAAGTCCTATGCTTAAGTTTTACCATACAGTATGTGATGGTAAAAACCCAATAAGACCCAAATACAATTTTTTCTTTACTTATTCATTCTCTGAAGCTATGTACAGTCTACAGAAGACAAATGAGAACAAACGTAACCAAAGATAGAACCACAGAGTGAATTCAAGAGAACCTGAAACACTCCTAGTACCAAGCTAAACCTAGACCAAACTTAGAAACGCCCTCTTCATCTACCTCAACTCCCTTGTAATCTTTTAGCTCTAGTTAAGAGTCCCAACTACAAACCACCTAGAGTAGTTAAGCTAACAACAAGCGCTCCTCAGTGATTAACGATGTTCAGCACAAGGTAACATGTTCTTGAGTATCTAAAGGGGAAAATAAACATACCTTGAGAGCATTTTTAACTTGAGTAGACTCAGGAATCAACCTAAACGCCACACCATTAACTTTTAACTGGAACACCTACAACAGCAAACAAACAAACAAAAATAAATCAAAACAGCAAGAAACAACAAAACACCACCACACTAATAAGTATATGACTTCAAACAAACTCCTTTTTCAGACCTTACTAAGAGCAAGAGCCACAACTTTGGAACCTTCTTTCTTCATCCGAGGGTCCATAATCTTCATCTGCCTAAGCAACGCCTCCGCATCTTCCTCCTTACAGAACAACAAACCCAGAGACTTCCCTGTCGAAGTCCCCGAGACCAACACAAACTCCTCGTTCGAATTGCTCAGCGCGTAGACTGGCACTCCCGCCAACCTCTCCTCCATATCATCAGCCGACAACCCACTGCTTCGACGAGCCGGAGCCGCCACCGCCGCCTCTAAATGAGTCTTCCCGCCGTCGTCGGAGATTCTCGCCCAGACGGGTGGTCGTGCGTGACAGCGAGAGATGCGGGAATCGAGAGCTTGCTTGGCTTGGGAGCGCAAGGAATCGAGGGCAGAGAAGATGTTGGGATGGTGAGGAGAAGGGTTGAAGAGAGGGTTTAGGGTTTTGGAAAGGTTGTTGAGTAAATCGGAGCATTGGGTTTGTATGTTGGAGAAGGATTGTTGCAAAGTTTGGTGCTTTTGCTGTTTTGATGATGAGGAAACGTTTGAATCCATGGTTTGCGACTGAGAAGAGAGACCAGAGTGGTGTGTGTGAGGGTTTTGCTAAAAATAAGATTGATCCTTGTTTTGATTTTTTTCTATTGAGGATGTCGAAGCGATTGTGATCCTCTGTGGCTAGACATATCTTTTCATAATAACACGCACCATTTGGACTCAGCCACGTGTATTTATTTATTTAACTCTTTTCTGATATGATCGTTTATGAGATCATAAACAGATTTAGCTCTACTGGATCTCATTCGCTAAGCTCCAACAATGGGGATACAATGGAACTTCTTTTAGGGCTGGAAACCATACTTGAAGAGCTAATGCACGATGATGGGTTTAGTAGACATCATCATTTTATAACTTGCAAAATAAAAATGTATCTCTCCGTGTAACATCTGCTTACGACAAGCATGGCTAGGATTAGGCATGTTAAAACGGGATTTTCGTAAACGGGTATAACGAGCACCATGTAGTTATATTGTCCATTTAAGGTTTGTTTATAAAACAAAGTTAAACGAGCTTGGTCGGGTTTGTCTTATTTATGTCTGTTTAGTAAACGGGTTAACCAAATTAAACGGGCCGCCCGTTTAGTCCATTTATATTTTTTTTATTTGTAAAAAACATTGACGTTTTATTAGTAACCTTTTAATAACCTAATGTCCTAAATTACTTTTCTTTGTTGATCTAAGCCGAAAAAAGTTCTTCATCTCATCTCTCATCGTTGCTATTTGGTAAGATCTCATCATCTCCTTCTCTGTTTTTGTTTTACCTCTTCACCTTCTCTATTGATCTCTAATGGTGGTTCTTGATAATATAATCAGACGACAGAGGTCCGGTTAGCTAGACCAGGAAGCAAGTCTAGTTCTCTGAAGCTGAGGTCAAATTTGCTAGAGCTTGAGGCAACTATCAAATAAGTTAGATAAGTCTGTGTATGATCATAACCTTTCTTAATATCTTAACAATGTTCTAAGGGGTTGTTCTAAGGTGTTTTAGATAAACCATAACTTTTTGGTTGTTTTAAGGTGCCTAAGAAGTTAAATAAGCCTGTGTATGATCATATGGTAGATTGTGAGATGGTTAATGAGGCTACATTTACCATGATCTACCATTTCGGTATGTGGAGTATAGGAAGGTTAGAGCTAGAGATAAGTATTTAAATCCCGATTGTCAATCTATTTGTAGACAGAATGTTGCTCTTGATGTGTATAGGTGATATGAAATAAAGAAAGAGAAGTTGAAAGGATTGTTTGTCAAGCATCGTGGAAGGGTTTGTCACACCGCTGATTTATGGGTATCTCGTCCTCAAAACATGTCATATATCTGCTTAATTGTTCATTACATTGATGATAGTTGGAGATTGAACAGTAAGATCTTAGATTTATGTGAGATGAAGTCTCCACATACCGGTGATCTCATTGCTACTAAGATCTTTGAGTCTTTGAAGGAATGAGACTTAGAGAAGAAGGTTTTCTCGATGACTTTGGACAATGCCACAAACAACAATTGTATGTTGAGAATTCTCAAGGGCAAGCTTCAGACGATAAGTGGAAGCGATGGAGGTATGTTGTGTGATGGTAAGCACATACATGTGAGATGTTGTACTCACATTTTGAACCTTATAGTTAAAATTTGCTTGGAGTTGGCAAATAGTCTTATACATAATATCCAAGAAAGCGTTAGATATGTGAAAGCAACGCCACAAAGGAAAGAAGCCTTTGCAGCATGTGTAAAGAGAGTAGGAAGTACATGTGGATCTGGATTGTCACTTGATGTTACTACTCGCTGGAACTCTACATATGGGCTGCTTGTTAGAGTTCTCAAATTTAAGAAAGCATTTGCTAGCTTGGAGTTGTATGATCCGAAGTATAAAATGTGTCCTTCAGAAGATGAGTGGAACCGTGGAGCAAAGATCTGTGAATTGTTGAAGCCGTTCAGTGTTATCACAACCGACTTTTCAGGTTCAAAATATCCCACTTCTAATATCTACTTACACAAGTATGGAATATACAAGTGCTGGTGGAGAAACATTCCATTTGTGATGATGAAGGGGTGAGAGAAATGGCCAGAGACATGCGAGTTAAGTTTGATAAATACTGGAAGGATTATAGTGTAATCTTGAGAATGGGAGCAATTCTAGATCCAAGAATAAAGACTGAGATTGTTGAAGATGCTTACAACGAATTGGATTCTTCTACTGCAAGCTTAAAGACCAAAAAACTCAAGGAGAGTTTGAGTGACCTTTATAAAGACTATCAAAAACTGTCTCAAACAAGCTCTTCGGGTGTTTCACTTACGCCAACTCCACATGAGATTGTCACAGAATCTCCACTTGAAGATGGTTATGGTAATGTAAGTAACTTACTATAATTTTAGATAATCTCAATCATTCATTGTCTTGGAACTAATAATTTTATATAAATGTTCACATTATTTTTTTTTGAGTTGGAAAAGAACATTGGAGGTGGAGCTAGCGACCCAAAGACACATTTGGATATCTACTTGGAAGAGCCCAAGCTAAACAAAAGGACTAACTCAAAACTAGATGTCTTAAGTTATTGGCTCGGAGATTTAGCATCCATGGCACGTGATATCCTCAGCATTCCGATCACAACAGTAGCTGCTGAGTCTGCCTTTAGTGTTGGATCCCGGGTTTTAACCTCTTACTGAAACCGTCTTTTGTCTAAAAATATCCAAGCTCTTCTTTGCACTAGAAATTGGTTGCGCGGTTTTGCTGAATACCAAGGTAAAAAGGCTTTAAAATATCATTTATGACTATCTTTTGTAACTTATTCATATTATATTTTGTAGGTACAATTGAAGATCTTTTTGATGAGAATGAAGATGTTCAAAACAAAACAAGTAGTTCATGAGTGGGATCTTCTTCAACATAAAAAGCTTGAAGTGTGAGTGGTTTCTTGTACTCATTTAACTCACTTCTGGACTTTTTTTAATTTGTATGATTACTAACTAGACTAATAATCTGTGATTATGAACAAGTACGGTGTAGAAGATTAAAGTTGCTCTTCATTGTGATGCACCTAATTTGAGATGGAATTGTGTGTGTGTGGATTGAGTCAAAAAAGATTGAGTTGCAAACTTTAAATTTTTAGTTGAAATGTGATTTGTAAATTTTGAATTTTTAGCTTAAACAAAACAATGTAATGTTTAGTGTTATGACTTATGATTATGGAGTTGTATTTTATTTGACAGGTTTGATTGAAGAAACATGTTATTAACTTATGATACAAACATATCATGTTCATTTTCTTAAAAATAATCTGACTCAAAACGGGCTTATAACGAGATTATTGTTAAATGGACTTTACATAAACGGGCTTTATTTAAACAAGCTCTAAACATACATTAGATAAACAGACTTGGACGTAAACGGGTTCAGACGTAAATGGGCTATCCCGACCCGTTTTAACACCCCTAACTAGGATGATCATTTCTACACTACTGTTTTATTTTTAACAAAGCAATTTCACTCCTGGATTTGTAATTAAATACATACTTATCAGTAGTTATTACTGACTGATACTAACATTGTTAAGTGTATTAGTTTAGATACATTGTCTCATGCATAACCATACTAACATTGTTAAGTGTATTAGTTTTTCGATACATTTTCTCATGCATAACCATCTAAAGATGCAAGAACCTAATTCTGGTTCATCTTGATCAAATCTCTCCTCATAATTATTTCAATGTTGCAGAATAGAAGCCTAGAAAATCAATTGGCAGGGACTTGAGAAAAGAGTGGTTTAACAAGATCTACAACTTCGGCTCGGCTCTCAAATGTGAGTTTTGTTTTACTTTGGGATTCCCATAAAGTATAACTACGGTTTTGCTACGTTGTGACAATTCCTATTCTAGACATCTCTACTTCTTCATGCAGATACGACACAACCTTCTGAAGAGAAGTCTGTTCTTCTTATCCGTGCTGGAGGACGAGTAAAATCTCAGAAGCTATTTCTTTCATGCATAGACAGATGATGGTTGTTCATTTGTATTGTTCATGTGCAAGAGCACACTTGATAATGTCTCTAGATCAATAAGAAATAGAAAAAAGCCTTTTAGCAAATGCTAGAATGGGTCCCCTAAGAAAGAAACTTGCTTCTTGGCCTTATATCAGTTCTAATGTACTATACTTTTTTGCATCCCACAACATTTGGTCACCACATGCATATTGTACTTCAAGTGGAGCAGTTACTTCAGAAATCTAAAACGGCAATGCAAATTCTGAAATTCATTTGTATATAACATTACACAAGCTATGAAAATATATGTTAGGAGATACTCGATTCACATTGTAAATCCATTTTACACACAACTCAGAAATGCAAATCATCAAATATACACATTCAATATCCATTAATAAAAGAAGCCATCACCATTAATAAATGAAGCCATCACCATCATATTCAAGATCTAACCTACAAGTCCATTATTGCTGACTATGTTTAATTTACAATTTCCATGTTAATTAAAATAATCTATTAACCAAGAATAACTAAACATGATAACTAATACTTTTGTTATCCTTTTGTTTGTATCTTCCATTCCACAACTTTCCTTGTCTCTGCCATGCACATGCTCTTCCCTTCTCTTCTCTTTCTCACTCCAATGATTACAGAGGACAGCCTAAGCAAGCAGCCTACCCACTTTCACCATCTAATGTCTCCCCACATTAACTTAATAAACACACCTAAGATTCTTCTCTTTTGAACTGTAAAACTCAACTCTTTATATATAATCTTCTTTAATTAATTAAATCTCTTTATCATTACTTTCCCTCTTTCTTTTCTCTTTTGTCATTTTCTCTTCCTTCATCTCTCTGTGATTAGTAACAAAAGTCACCGTCCTTCTCTTTCCTCTCTCTCTCTTCCACTTTGATTGATCAATCATTCTCCTTCATCTCTACTTCTCTCTGCATTTCTCATTTCCTTTTTCAAGCAAACATTACCTAGAATTCGTTAAGCTTTCTACTTACATTTTCCTGGAAAATTCAATCCTTTTCCGGAGTATAACTTCATAATCGTCATTTACTTGGGCTGAAAAAGAAATCACACAGAAAAGAAAAGAAAAAAGTTTCAAAAATCTCAATTTTCCAGGAAAATCTCAGTTTTCCCGGAAAAAAGTTTCCATGTTCAAAGCAGCTTTTTGACTTTCTAACTGATTAAGAAGCTCATTTAGTTAACTGGGTTTCCTTGAGATGGAGAAGCAAACCCTAAAGTACTTACCTTTGGGTCAGAGCGATCCCTTTGGCAATGGCAACGAAGGAACCATCGGCGATCTACTCGGCAGATTCTGCAACCCTCCTCAAGAGATCATCTCTCCACCGCAATCCTTCGGGTTCCCGCCTTTTCCGGGTCAATTCGGATCCGATCGTGATAGCAACAACAAGAGCTCGCTGTTGGATCCAGATTTATCAGATCGAGTTCAGACAACAACGAAACCAAACTCCTCCAGGAAGAGAAAAGCGTCGGTCCCTGTCGGAAACGGCAAGGAGTCTCCAGCTTCGTCGTCTCTGACAGCTGGATCGAAAGATGGGAAGAGAAGCAAGCATGATGAAGCTGGGAGCAGCGGTAAGAAGGTGATAGAGAAGAGTGAAGGAGAGAATAAGGAGGCGCCTAAAGATTACATTCATGTTAGAGCCAGAAGGGGTCAGGCTACTGATAGTCATAGTCTCGCTGAAAGAGTACTAAACACTGATCTGTTTTTTGTTTTTTTTTTGTTGATGTTTCAGTTTATTTATAATGTTTGATGTTTATGGTGTGTGTTTGGTTTATAAGGCGAGAAGAGAAAAGATTAGCGAGAGGATGACAATGCTTCAGGATCTTGTTCCTGGTTGTAACCGGATTACAGGGAAAGCAGTTATGCTTGATGAGATTATAAACTATGTGCAGTCCTTGCAGAGACAAGTTGAGGTAGGAGAAACAGAGAATCTATGACAATTTTTTTCTTGAAAATCATAATTAAAGTACTTTTTGGTATGTTTTTTTTTTCAGTTCTTGTCTATGAAGCTGGCTACTGTAAATCCAAGGATGGAGTTTAATGCTAATGCTGCTTTATCCACAGAGGTAATACAATATCTGCTAAATGGATAATGTTGCTTGCTCTTATGGAAATGTTCTGTGATTAGTAACGTAATACATTTTTATTGTATAGATGATTCAACAGGGGGAGTCATTAACGCAGTCTCTTTACGCAATGGCTTGCGCAGAGCAAAGACTTCCTCCATCAGGATACTATTCTCTTGCCAAGAACATGCCTAGATTCTCAGACACTCACTTTCCTTCGAGCGACCACGGATTTGTTCAAGCTGAGGTAGTTGTTAGTAGTTAAATGTCAGATTCTGGAAGTTGTATAGTAAACTCAGACTTGTTTAACGCTATTGTGTGTTCTGATTGATTTTCAGACACCGGGGTTCTGGGAAAATGATCTGCAAAGCATTGTTCAGATGGGGTTTGGAGATATCCAGCAACAACAGAGCAGCAACAACTGTAAGAAAGAGATTTAGAACCAGAGTCTCTGTTGAGAAACTTTAAGAACTTATGCTAATATAGTTAATCTCTTGAATGTTTTCAGGCTCTGAGCCAACACTACTGATGAAGCTTGAGCCATGATTAAGAAGGTGTTTGTTATTGTATCTCTCTGTACATACAGAAACCAAGTAGTGATAGGTACGGAATGAGACATGTGGGAACTAATGTTTACTATCGTATCTTTTTTGCTTGTGCTTCTGTTGATTTCTTCTCAACCCCCAAAACAACACAAAAAAAAGTCTTCATATCATGTAAAAAATGACAAGAATCTTTTATGGACAATTTATGTATTATTTCACAGTTGCTATGTATTGTTATTACTCAACTTGTAAGAGGGAATAAGTTTTTCACCTATTACATATTTTTTCACAAAATTTAGAGAACAATACTTTTGATTAAAAATCCTGCCTATCTGAGAATCTGAAGTTGATGATTTATACTTATGGAGAACAAGCAATGCTATCCCCTAAGATAGCTTCTTGGCATAAACAGATTTGGTTTTCTAGTCACATTCCTAAGCATATGGTTTCATTACCTGGGTTGTTGCTAGAGATAGGTTGTTTACTTTATTCTTATTAGTTCTCTGATAAATCAAAGACATCTTTAGGTTAGCGACCTGGATGAGAGAACACAAACGTGTAAATTGTAAAGTGAGTTTATAGGATATAAGAACTACAATGACAGGTTTGCAAACTTTAATATCAGATCAGACCCAACATTTTCTGATTTTCGTTTTTATATACACATTACAAGAAAACAATACGTTGTGGAAAAGAAACTATATGTTGCATCGGTCATACCCTGAGAACCAAGAAGGTTCGGCGAGCTTAGCCAATTCTGCATCTTTCTTGTACAATGGCTCGAACTCTTCTCTCCATTTCTGATCTCCTGAACTCGCTGATGGTTCTTCCACTGGCTCATCATATTTAGCCATATCATCGCCATGTAAAGATTCTATGTGATTGTGTGACTCTGCAATGTGTTGTTGTTGGTTAAGAGTGCTGATTCCAGTTTCTTGTTTCCTCTTCAGTTTATCAATCTGTTTATATGCTTCTGATGCTTCATACTCTGCATCCATTGCCCGTCTCTGCGAATACACAAGCCATAACCATTAAGTTAGAGTCATATGAGACAGTATTGATAACAATGGGTGAGATTTTGAAATGTTTTAGAATTGTACCTGAGCGATTTTCAATCCTTCTTCAGCTTCCTTAAGTCGAACAAGTAACTCTCCTGCTGCTTCAACAGCTTCAGCTGTATCTCTTAGTTGTGACTGGAGACTCTTGTTCTCATCTCTGAAGTATTGTGCCTCTTTCTCTCTTTGCACTTTCAACGCTGAGATCTCTGCTGCAAGTGCGTTTATGAATCTTGACTCTGCTCCCTTGACTCCTGCTCTGGCTGCTGCTTTTTTAACATCGTCTATCCCTTCTCGGATCATCCTGTGCCTTGCAAGCAATTGCATATGCTTCTCTTCCAGGTCTGCGTACTGTTCAATCATCCGTGCATGACCTTGCATCGCCATCTGCATTGCTTCCGTCAACTCTTCTGTACATCTTTTCTCGGTATCCAGTTCACGTTTCTGCTTTTCCATTAGCTTCCTATTGGTATCGAGCTCGTTTCTTAATTCCTCAGCTAGAGAGACCCAGTTGCTCTCTGCTTCTGTCCAACGTAGTCTTTCCTGTTCTAATGTCTTCTCAGGACTCTCGTCCATTGACTCAGGAATGGCATTAAGTGGAGGATCAGGATTAGGGTCGCATGTGTATGTCAGTTTAAGATGGGAACCTCTTTTCCGAGACGATGTAAGAGAAGTGTCGGTGTAACAGTATAGCTGCGCCTTTAAATCTTGGATCTCTTCCAGTAACACTTCCCTCTCTCCCATTTCACCGTAGAAGTTCTTGAAACTTTCCAGCTCTTCTTGTGCTCGTTTCAACTCAATCCTTGTCTGCAATACTTCAGGGTGGTTCTCGTACATGTCCTTCAGAAGCTGCAGCATTATATCATTAAGGAAAAATTTCTGCTTCGAGTCAAAAATCTTTAGATAATGGGAACCCAAAAGATTTTACCTTATGCTCATGCATGAGAGATGCAAATTCTTCATCCAGGAAATCATCTTTAGATAACACACCATCCATGAGGCTTTCAAGACGAACAATTTTGTCCTCCCGTGTTTGTCCTATGATGGCATTGCACTCTCTCTCATGTTTGTATTGTTGTACCTGTTCGAGAGTCAATTAGAAACAGTTTCCGTTGATGTGTTTCTAACAAATCACAGAGCATTGCCATTAAGTTAGGATCATACCAGCCGATTAAGCTGTGATATTTCAGAGGCTTGCTTGGTGCAGTACTCTTCCAGAGCCATTTCTCTTCGGATAGACCCTGCTACAACCTTTTCCACTGCCTATAAGGTGCAGAATACTCCCGTTATATCATTAGACTATGCAAATGCAGAACGAGCAAGACTACTGTGAATGAAATCTTTACCTTGGGAACTTGGAAATTGGACTTTTCTGAGTTATCAACAGGTACTAACTGAAGGTTTGAAATGTCACTTGTTTCTTGGACAACACATTCTGCTACGGCTTTGCATTTACTGCACAATACTTCTTTTGGGTTCTCTTCACCTATTATATCAGCTTCGGGATAAGTTTGTACACCTACATCAGCCTTGCTTAAAACCGTTGACGGCTTGCATTCTAGAGCTTTGTAGGAGAACCCAAATGTCGATCGTCTCTGAGCAGTACTCTGGCGATAAGAGTCAAGAATTTTCATTCCTCTGTGGAGGCTAGCCGCCAATTGGTTAGTTGGCACATGAAAAGCTGCACTTTTCTGTGTGGACAAAGCACTGGGTAGGTTTAACATCTCTGTAGACACAGTTGAAGAAGGCTCCATGATTTCTGTAGTTACTTGGTTTGCTCTTTCAATATCTTTTTGTGATGCAGTGGACGTTGATGATGTCCTCAAGCTTTTCCTGCTATTCCTAATCCTGGGAGAGACGCTCTCAGTGGGAGTTATTAGTACAGGAGAAGCACTTACTGGATCTATGCTGAGGCAAGGTGACACAGGGTTTACTGATAAAAGCTCTGTATCATGTGAAGCATCTGGTGCAATGGCGGAAACAAGAGCTCCAGGAACCAAGTTTTGGCAGGATGGAAGATTCTCTGCCTTGCCAGCTGAGCTTTTATAGTGTGTATCACTAATAGGAGAACCAGAAGAAATGGTTATCAAAGGAGGCTGTAAACTTGAACCATGATCCATAGCTTGCACGGCTGTTGACACATTATTAATAGTAACTGCTTCGTGGTTCTCAGTTTGGCAACTTGCATCCTCCATGTTAACATCTGTATCCTCAGGAAACTGCTTTCCTGTAGATTCGCCGTCAGATGATTGAAGGTGAGAGTTCTCGTTATTTTCATCCTTACGGGCCACAGTTTGTACGGATGAATTTATTCTCTCTACTCTGCTCGTCTCTTGATTGTTCTCCTCGGCAGGTAGAGATGGCTGCAAGCCTATTTGAGCACAAAGCCTTTCAACAGCCTCCTCATCAATTTCCATCTCAGTATCTCCATCATCATCTCCATTGGCTAATGACTTTGAATGACTCAGGCCAAAGCTTCTTAACAAACTCATACTTCTACGTGCATTCCAGGAAGCGGTATAAGCTGCATTTGGATTGGCTGGATTGTTTCCATTGTTCTTCAACCTATGCAATTCCTCCTGCGGAATTGGCAATAATTTACATTAACATTTGTATTTACGTTCGTATAATATAATCAAAGGAATGCATACCCTCAGCTGGCGTATGACTTCCCGCAAGAAATTTACATCGTCCTGCATCACTTCATTGACAACGGCCTTGTTCTGAATCGCCTTTGCACGCTGAGCAAACCTCAAAGTGCTGAACGTTTCACTTCTACAACTGCAATTGATGATGCAACTTAATTTTGCAGAAAAGCGGAGGATAATACAATTTCGAAAAGAGAAATTCGAGTTCTGGATTTACCTTTGCGAGGGAGATACCGCACAAACCATGGCTAGTTTTGCATTCCCACCAAGAGACTCCTGCAATAGGAATGTCAGCCTGGAATCTCTGTATGGTATATGCCTTTGCTTCCCGGTTTGTGAAACTTCTGCGAGAATGTTGATCAAATTCCTGCAAGTAAGAACTCTTATGGTTAACATTTATCTAAGCTTCTCACTCTCAGTTTCAGACTCAGGCATCACATCTGTAAAATGTATTTAAAAGATATGGCACTGATTATCAAAACCCAGATTCAAACATGCTATAGCATCAAACCTATATATAAACATAATGCAATATTAACTTGGCAAAGCAATCAACAAGCAACCAGATCAACAACTGAACTTACCCAAGTTGAGAAAGTGATCGATTGATATTCCCAGCTTCCTTCAACCGTTCTCCTGCTGCACCAGTTGATTTTTGTCTCTCGGAACCAGCCAGATCAACAAGATTTATTTTACTTGTTTTAAAGCTGCTTAGACCATCTGCAGCACTCTGTTACATCAAAATGCTGTTAGATATGGTTTCCCATAATAAACAATGAGCTAAGTAACTCCTATACTAGTAAACATCTCAGCCTCAATCTTAAAACAGTAAATATAAACAATTTGATAAAGGAGAACACACCTTGCAATGTGACTCAACAACACAAGTAAATACACAGTGCGACCTTGAACTCTCTGCATTTACACTTGTTGCACCAGTCCTTCTGTTTGCTAAACCCTACAGTAAAAGAAAAGCATTGCTATTGAAATACTCATTCCAGACTGTCTACACTGTAAGACTTTGACATGCTTTGCCGATATAGAAATCTTCGGTAGTCCTGATCTTTTTGAAATTCGATTTACCTAGCATCACTAAAAAAGCTGAAACAATTAAATCCAGTAAACATTCTACCAAATTCCTGCAGTGTGCTTGTAACAAAGCAAAATTCCACGCCCCATACTGTGTGTGTGTGTGTACGTTTTGAGCAATTACTCAGAGAAAACTTTCATATTGGATTTTCAAAGAGGAACATGATATGAAAGGGTGCAACAAACCTTGATCAGGAGATTTGACAAATCCTTCAAATTTTTCACTTCTCCGTCAGTCAGATTTTCAACATAAACACCGGACTTGACACCTTCTCTAATCTGGTACAATATTAATTAACAACAATGAACACAAGTTCTTTGTCCTTAATATGTAGATCAAGTTAAGTTGCAAGTTCGTTTTACCATCAGATTTTTTTGGCTCGGGTCCAAAAGATCTGTTATTTGCTCGTTGTAAATCTGCAATGAAAGACAGAAAAGAGAACCATAAGCATCATCAAGCTTAGAGAAATGAAAGCACCAAATACACCAACAAACTAAAGTAGCATCCACTCATAGAACCTCAAGAAAAGAACAGCGGCACTGGTAACTGAGCTGCCTTTCAGCGTGCTTCACTTGCTCCTGCAAACAAAAGAAATCAACTTTTGAATGTACTGCGTCATTAACAAGATGAAAAGGAATGAAAATCAACAACACCAAGCATCACCTCTTTGATACGGGCGAAGAGCAGTTCAAATACACGTGGAGTCAAACCTCTTTGGTCACCACTCAGGTGCTCTTCCAACAATCCGTTTGCCGGACCCCACATTGTATACGTTTTCCCACTACCAGTCTGATGAAAAATGTTTTCATGATAGAGAGTCAGAAGTTAAATTCACAGTCATCTGGTTCAGAAATTGGAATATAATGATAATCACCTGTCCATAGGCAAAGACAGAACTGTTAAATCCAGCCAGACAGTTTTCCACAAGAGGCGCTCCCACAAGTTGAAAGATATCATCCTGCAAAGAATACAAGAAAGATAAGTACTTAGCCTATCTAAATCATGAAAACTAAATGGTTACCTGTGTTGAGTCCGGGTCAGCAATTGAGTCGAAAGTGAAAGTATGTCCATTGATTGTGAGGGCATCGCTTGAGATCTTTTTAACAGTCATCTCCTCTTCCTCACCTTTGCTTGGAGGCTTCACTCTGACTATAACCTACGAACACACAGATAAAGGCTCAAGTTGCGTATCGCTTGAACAGTCCATAGTCCTATCTATCAGCAGCAACGACTCGGAGATTATCTTGAACAGTGAAAAGTCCATAGTTATAAAGCATTAGTCAGTCAGATAATCAACCATTTGCATTTCACTAAATGAAACTTAAACCTTATTAAAATAGAAACTATCCTTTTTCTCCAATTAGAAATTTCATAATCCGTAAAATTTAATTCGATCGATTCATCTAAGAGATTAGGGATTTCAAACGCTGAAACTACCTTTACACCAGAATCAGAAACCCCGGCTACGCCGTTATCCGCCGCAGCTTCCGGGATGAGCTTCCGTTTGAGAGGATTAGCGGAGGAGGGAGGACGCGGAGGCAGTTGACTCTTCAGTTTCGCGGGGGAAGATCTATAATCAGGAGGCAACGAGTTCGGATCATGAGGCGGGGCGTTCTCCTTGGCGGATCTGATCTTCTTCCCTTGGGACTTGGATCTAGTCAAGCTAGGGTTCGGCGATTGCGGATCTCCGATGTCTCCTTTTCTTGGCATCATGAAGCGTTTCATTCTCTAATTGAGAGGAGGAGGAAGAAGAAGAGCTTTACGCTACTGCTTGCGATTACGATTGCTCTGGTTAAAGAAACGAGGAAGAAAGGAAGGAGAGAGAGACGTTATTGTCGAGAATTTGAATTTCTAGATTTGTTTCGCATCTGTATTCTCTGTGGCCACGAGATTAATCCAACGGTGGAGATCAAACTTACGCTCCATGTTTTTGTTTATATTATTTTCTAAGATGTTTCAAGTGTTCAGTTTATTAATTAATCACTGCAATTTAATTAATGTACTTAAATAACTAGTAGTCATATCTAGCTATACATATTTTACGGGTTCAACTGGTGAACAAGGAAAACAAAATTACTGATGAAAAAATGAAATTGAATAATGCATTCTTTACTGTTCCTAAAACCGTTTACCATTTGTAAGAAATAGTTTTTCATTTTCATTCATTCTCATTCATTTTGTTATAAAAAAAATTAGTACAAATTTATTCCTCAATAAATTGATAAAGAATAACAATTTCTCATCATTTCTATAACTTTATTCCTCTATATTTTCTTTCTGTTTGTTTCTAATGTTTATTAATTTGAAATTTACGTAATACGAGGAGACTATCTAGTATTTATTTATATATATGAGGACAATCCAAAGCTTTAAGTATTTCTCACTGTGGGGAGGAACCCATGCGGTAGGATAGTCTCACTTCAACTATAAATTTACAAATGAACTTCCCACACCTTTGTAGGATAGTAAGGTTTATATGGACTAATACAATGTGTTTGATGAGATGATGAAGAAGACGATGTTGACAATTATATATATTAAGACTAAGATAAATAATCATTCTGGACAGGACCAAAAATAGGAAAAAACAACATTACTGGCTATAGATAGAGTCATCGCCTTGGACACCATAATGTGGACCAATCATGCTGTGAGCTATACCAATGGTGTTATGAGCAGAGATCATCAGGTCTAAGAGAGTAGCACTGCTTCAGCTTAACTTCATATATGTTTCTACTGAACAAATAGATTCTATGTTCTCGAGAAAAAGTTTCCATAACTAATTTCACAGCTGCCTTTGAGGCATCGAGCCAAGACCACACCATCACATGACAAGACAGTCTGTCTTTACTTTACTATTGCCATCCTCCATATCTTTGGTTTCTAGCACCACCCATTGGGTTTTGTCCTCTTCCAAAACCACCACCATACTGACTACCACCTTGTGAGTAGTTAGGCGGTCTAACACCATACCCACCACTGGGACCGGCGCCATATGGTGCACCTCGACCTTGTGAAGGATATGATCCGCTGTTGTAACCTCCACGGCTCCGATTATTATACCCTCCAGTCTGGTTCCCGCTATGATTGTACCCGTTTCAACCAGGTGCAGGGCCACGAGGATTCTGATAGTAGTGATGACCACCAGGTCCATTAGCAGGTATTTGAGGTGGTTGTCCGTTGTTAATAGGGTGGTTTGGTCCGGCAGGCCAGTGTGAAGCGGCTTGAGTCTGACCAACGCCATGTTGCCGTGGAGGCCAACGAGAGTGTTGTTGCTGCTGCTGCGGATGATGCAGTTTCTGTTTTTTGGCTGCTTCCTCGTTATGACGCATCTCTTGCCGCCTTTTCTTTGTTTGGAACTCGTGTGATGATCCATATTTGGGTAGACTGTTTGAGGGAAAATGAAACATTGTCTAGTCATATGCACCAAATGATTTTTTTTCATAAAAATAGCAATCTTAGAGCAATTCGATTACCTCTTTGGATCACACGGGAAGGGATCAGTCAAAAAGTAATCTGCATCAAGAGCATCCTTTGCAGATATTCTCTGCACCAAGAAAATGAACTCAATCTCAAGAAAAGAAGGCTCTTAATATCTGCATTTTGCTAATATTTCGGATTTAGTTTGGTACCTGAGACGGGTCAAGCACCAACATTCTTTCTAGAAGTTCTAGGGCATGGCGATCAAAGCTATAGTAGAAGAAAATAATCCAAAATGAGATCTCTCATGTATCAAAAGTGATACAGTGGCATAAACTTACTTTCTGTAGATCTCCCTTAAACGTCTTTTCAAGGGCCGAGATGATTTCAGTTGGTTAAACCAAGGCATCTTCGAAACACCAGGCCAGTTTTTTTCATCAGGTGATCCACATAGTTCATAAATCTTAGTCAATTGTTCAGCCTGGAGAAAGAAAGATGCATTTGAGTGAATAATCTTCTAACGCATGCCACCGGAGATGTTCAAAAAAGATGAAAAAACCGACCTCAGTTTTCCCAGGAAAGATTGGTTTCCCATTCAAAAGCTCAGCAAATATGCAACCAACTGACCACATGTCAATCGCTGGTCCATATTTTGTGGTACCGAGTAGCAATTCAGGGGGCCTACCGATACATTAAGTAGACACGAAGATGCAAACAAACGTTAAGCAAGACTCATTCTCTTTTTAGTGTGTATAGCTTTCGAGTATGCATACATGTACCACAATGTGATGACACGGTTTGTAAGATTTCCATCATGATCATGAGAATAGGACCGTGCAAGCCCAAAATCCGCAAGCTTTAGATTTCCCTCATTGTCAATAAGGAGGTTGGAACCTGCATCAAGATATCATATAGGTTAAGTAGCAAGTAAAGGCGAGAGAACAAGACCGTCAAAAAATGTATTCTGGGAATAGTCACCTTTAATATCACGATGAAGAACTTTTTTAACATGACAATAGTGAAGCCCAGTGAGCAGTTGCTTCATGTAACACTAGACATGTCGATATTGTCAGACAAAGTTGGAACAAATAGATTTTGCAAAGGCTACAACAAGGTACCTACTTTGATTTGAGGAACAGTAAATCCCTGTGTGGAACGATCAGAAAGTCCAGTCAAGTCATGATCCATGTACTCAAAGACCATGTAGATTCCACCCTTGTATTTGTTATTATCTAAAAATACAATTAGTAGAACTTTAATATTAGGTGACGGTAAGGAGTGTAAATAGATCCATCTTAGTTATTTCACTAACCTGGCTTTCCTTGATCATCCCTATCTCGACCTTTTCAAAGAAAACAGAAAAAAAAATACACAAGAGTCAAACATCAAACTTGACAAAGGATAACAAAACATAACTGCAAGAGGAGAGAGTTGGTTGCTTGTTACCAGGCGAAGTAACAATCTCTTTTAAATGTATGACGTTTGGATGATCCAACTTCTTCAGAATTTTGATCTCCCTTATAGCTGTAATGGGAAACTTAAAACAAAAAGTGATGATATAAGTCATACAGATTCACAATAGTTTGCAAAGCTAGTAATGAGATGTAGCTTACCCCTTCTCTTTCATTGTCCATACGCATCTTCTTAAGAGCCACAATCACACCAGTTTTAATTTCTCTAGCCATGTAAACTTGACTGCCAAATCAAAACCCAAACATATCAACACAAAATAATTAAAAAAAAACTAAGCATAAAAAAACATAATAAACAACAGCGAAATCAAGCTAGGTTTTAAAATTGAATTCAAAAATACTAATGATGCAAGCTATTAACACCCACAAGCATACGATTTTCTACAACCTAAACCCTAAAGAATCCAACTTCAATCAATCAACAACATATTCGCAAATTAGCAATCACAATCGGTTCAAACGGAATCAAAGAGCAAAACCCATGAAGAGGAATACTCGTAAGTTCCTTCGCCGACCTGTTCAAGCTTCTCGAAGCAATCGACGCCACGAGATCCACAAAACGGAGGGGGGTCATCCATATTCAATTTCCCGAAATCCGCAACCGCCGCCATTCTTCTTTCCCTTCTTTCTCCGACGAGTTTTAAATTAGCTCCCTCCCCCCTTTTCGTCGCCTTCTCTCCGACCTGTTCAAGCTTCTCGAAGCAATCGACGCCACGAGATCCACAAAACGGAGGGGGCTCGTCCATATTCAATTTCCCGAAATCCGCAACCGCCGCCATTCTTCTTTCCCTTCTTTCTCCGACGAGTTTTAAATTAGCTCCCTCGCCCCTTTTCGTCGCCTTCTCATCGCTATGAGAAACCCTAAGATTGTTTTAGCGTTTTCGGTTTATGGATCGGTTTAGTTTCCTATTTATTTTGCGTGTTCCTTCACTCGCAAGCTACCCACGTTGACTGATAAAAAGGAAACATAACTATAGTGTATTTTTGTAAATGAGTAATTACTTGTTGACAAAAAAAGTGACTGAGATATTTGTCTGATTCTTTTTATCTTTTTAATTGTTTTTCCTTTTACCTTTTTACTATGTTTTTTTCTTTTTATTTTCTTTAAAGTTGACCACTTTTTAAGATGGTAAATAAGTTACTAAAAATTAATACTCTTGTAATCATTTTTTTTTTGGTAAAAAAAACTTATTATGGATTAATTTTTTTTATAGAGACTGATCCTGCATTGAAAGATTCTGAATCCAAAAAATCTCATTAGCACCATAGAAGTCCATGAGCTATCTACGATAAAATTTTCTAGGAGAAGTTTTAATATCTGCATTTTGCTAATATTTCGGATTTAGTTTGGTACCTGAGACGGGTCAAGCACCAACATTCTTTCCAATAGTTCTAGAGCATGGCGATCAAAGCTATAGTATAAGAATAATCCAAAATGAGATCTCTCCTGTATCAAAAGTGATACAGTGGCATATACTTACTTTCGGTAAATCTCCCTTAAACGTCTTTTCAAGGGCCGAGATGATTTCAATTGGTTAAACCAAGGCATCTTCGAAACACCAGGCCAGTTGTTTTCATCAGGTGATCCACATAGTTCATAAATCTTAGTCAATTGTTCAGCCTGGAGAAAGAAAGATACATTTGAGTGAATAATCTTCTAACGCATGCCGGAGATGTTCAAAAAGATTAAAAACCGACCTCAGTTTTGCCAGGCAAGATTGGTTTCCCATTCAAAAGTTCAGCAAATATGCAACCAACTGACCACATGTCAATCGCTGGTCCATATTTTGTGGCACCGAGCAGCAATTCAGGGGGCCTACAGCAATAACCGATACATTAGACTTATTCTCTCTTGAATGTGTGTATAGCTTTCAAGTATGCATACCTATACCACAATGTGAT